GCCACTTGGTGCACGGGAGGGACACTCAACCAACTGAGCCACACCCGCCAGGCTGCCTGCTGTTTTTTCACCACTGAGGTGTCTGAGAACTTAATCTTCAAATGGGACAATGAATATTTAAAGAAAAGTTCAAGCTATTTTGAAGTTTACGTTTAAGTACTTTGAAGACAAGAATAGAAATTTTGGCTCGATTTGGAAACATCTGGCTACCGGTCATCTGATTCCCTCAGAGATTGTCTCAGGACCCTGAGAACCCTCTTTGCTATTTTCCANGTGTGAGAGAGACACACTAATTGGTTGCCTCCTGCACTCACCCCAACCAGGGCCAGGGATTGAGCCTGCAACTGAAATACATGCCCTTGATCAAATTGAACCCAGGACGCTTCAGTCCATAGGCCGACACTCTAACCACTGAGCCAAACCACTGAGCAATACTGGCTAGGGCTGTGTTTCAATATTTTGACCCTGCCACACAAATAAAGCTCTCGAAAGAAATAATATCCTCAAAGAGAGAGTATGTCTGGTCATTAATTTTTTTCTTTTAAAGTATAACTTTCATAAAGTGCACAAATCTTAAGTGTGCACCTCAATGGATGGATTTTTACGTGTGTGTACAACTGTTACAGGATAGTACGAAGCTAGGAAAATTTCAGGACAAACGGAATAGGGAAACTAAGACAGAGAGTTAAACAGCAGTTGCAGCCACCTAGTAAGTCCTATCTTCCCTAAACCAAGGAGACTTAAGAGTAAGTGGTTAGCCCTAGCCAGTTTCGTTCAATGGTTAGAGTGTTGGCCTGTGGACTGAAGGGTCCCACGTTTGATTCCGGCCAACGGCATGTACCTTGGTTACAGGCTCAACCCCTAGTCCCCGGAGGCAACCAATGGATGTGTCTCTCTCACATCGATGTTTCTCTCTCTCTCCCTCCCTTCTACTCTCTCTGAAAAGCAATGGAAAAAACATCCTCAGGTGAGGATTAAAAATAAAAAGAGTAAATGGGTTGCACGTCTCCCCAACCAGAGGGTAAATGACTTAAACTGCCCTACTCTGGGAGACAGAGAGCAGAAATCCAATTAGTGCCATTTGCCAACCACATCCAAGGACAGAGANAAACTGGCTCGTGAGCACCACAAGGGGGCCAGTGTTTCTCCAACATGGGCTGAGCAGGATACATCTTTCTGGGATTAATCTTACTTGATGATCTGGAAAAACAAAACAAAACTTTATATTAAAATGAATACTAATACACTATGGGCTAGGATGCAAAATTTGCACGAACTCTTTTGGAGAGGGAGGAGGCTTTGATCATTTGTGTGTGTGTGTGTGTATATATATATATATATATATATATATATATATATNCTTTTAAAGTATAACTTTCATAAAGTGCACAAATCTTAAGTGTGCACCTCAATGGATGGATTTTTACGTGTGTGTACAACTGTTACAGGATAGTACGAAGCTAGGAAAATTTCAGGACAAACGGAATAGGGAAACTAAGACAGAGAGTTAAACAGCAGTTGCAGCCACCTAGTAAGTCCTATCTTCCCTAAACCAAGGAGACTTAAGAGTAAGTGGTTAGCCCTAGCCAGTTTCGTTCAATGGTTAGAGTGTTGGCCTGTGGACTGAAGGGTCCCACGTTTGATTCCGGCCAACGGCATGTACCTTGGTTACAGGCTCAACCCCTAGTCCCCGGAGGCAACCAATGGATGTGTCTCTCTCACNCGGCCAACGGCATGTACCTTGGTTATAGGCTCAACCCCTAGTCCCCGGAGGCAACCAATGGATGTGTCTCTCTCACATCGATGTTTCTCTCTCTCTCCCTCCCTTCTACTCTCTCTGAAAAGCAATGGAAAAAACATCCTCAGGTGAGGATTAAAAATAAAAAGAGTAAATGGGTTGCACGTCTCCCCAACCAGAGGGTAAATGACTTAAACTGCCCTACTCTGGGAGACAGAGAGCAGAAATCCAATTAGTGCCATTTGCCAACCACATCCAAGGACAGAGAATAAATTTCATTTTGGTACATTAGCATAAAGCTGATGAATATTCTATTGATCTGCCCCTAAGATCTCCCCTAAACACCCAGCCTTGAAAACCCCTGAAAGTGAAGGTCCCAGGGTGCTCTCCCTCCAGGGAGCTCGCCCCTGCCATTCCCTTCCCCCTTTCTTCCTCCACAGGCACCTATTCCCTAACCTCTAAAGGACCCCATAAGACTTGCAACCAGGGGAGCAATGGGCAGCAGCAGCTCATCCAGGGCTAACGCCCTGAACCTGTCTCCAAGGCCCTGTTTTCTGTCACTTCCCAGGACCTAAAGCAGCCGGGCCTAGGCTCTCCTGTTGCTGCTTCTCTGCCCTTCTTTGTTTCATTGTCCTAAGTGTGTTTTTGCTGCGGTCAAAAAATTCTTGCATGCTTCTCTATACTTTTTCTCAATTGAGATGTTTCCCTCAAGAAGACGCAAAACGAGGTCTCATCATCTGGTTGGTAACACAACCAATATGATGGCCACCCAGATCAAGTATAGAACATTTCCAGCACTCAGCATGCCCGGTCAGTACCTGCTTATTAATCTGCCATCTATGGTGAATTTTAAAGCTAGAATAAAAGACCAGAAGGAATGTCAAGCTTTACAAGGTGCACCTTAGAGCTCCAGACTCAAGAAAACCATTTCTCTGGCCCTATGTTTCCTAAGTAGAAGGTGAACTGAGCCAAGGATCCTGAGACCCAGTGGGCATTGTTCAAACATAGTTTCTTCTACTGTATTGAGCTTTCTCTAGCAGGTGCTTTTTCCCCTCTTCAAGAGCTCCTGCTTGGGTTGTTATTTAAAAATATTTGTTTGTGATAGGAGCAGGTTAGTTAACATATAAAGAATTAGAACAATGTCCATAGTACCTGGGCACATGGTAAGTCCTAGATAAGTAATAGCTTATTATGAGATGCAGAAGAAACAAAAGGAGGCATTGCCGTTATCATTATAACAATTCTTAGAACAAGATACACACAGACGCTAAATTTGAAAATAAGGGAGGGAGTATTTATAGCTGCGTTGACTTAGAAATCCTAGTTACCTATCAACTTTGCCTTTAAGTGAAAGATTACAGTCTTTCAGAGCTTGTTGACTCCCTTGTACCTAAAGAAATTTATGAAGTGCCTTTTCTTATTCTGCCATGCATTTAACAAGTGTTTATTATATTCTAGGCATTGTTCTAAGCTCCCAGGTATCTAGTGAACAGAATAAAAACTCCCTGCCCATATGAAGCTTACTATCTAGTGACATTCCGACTCTTACTCTTAACACAGGCCACAGAAATTTTTCTATTACAAGGATATTTCATTTTTGTTTTACCTCCATGATTCCCTTCTACTTCCCTAGTGTTTTAAAGCTGAGGGAATTAAAAAATATGAAGTTCAAGCCAACCTTTGGCTCAATTCTGACACCAGTGGGGTACAATGTGAAATGGAAGAAAAAGAGAGGCCCAGAGGTGGAACACGGTTAATGCTAAGCTTAGTCCCTGTTCATAAATCACAGAGGATCAAGGTGCTAATGTGAATGTTGAAATAAACAGGTCTAGCAAGAACCACTGCATTGGTTCTTAATCATCCTAAAAAGGAACTGAGCCGTGCAGTTATTTTGAGTTTAGTAATTACACCAACAATGTTGCTCCCAAGCCGGGTTGTCTGATAGTTCTCTTAGAAATGCTAAGTTGCTTGGGCAACGGTTTAGGAGGGTCTACATCTTATCGATTTATTTGGGTAACTCACCAACTTTTCAATACCGGATCTCCTCTTCTAAAAAAGAAGTTTCTGATATCCATCCAGGATCATGAATTTTGAAAGATCTTGTCCTACACAGCCAGGATAATTATTTAAATAATAAAAATGTCGCCCTAGCCGGTTTTCCAGTGGTTAGAGCGTTGGCTCTCGGGACTGAAGGGTCCAGGGTTCAATTCCAGCCAAGGGCATGTACCTCGGTTGCAACCTGGGTTGCAGGCTCGATCCCCATCCAGGTTGGGTGTGTGCAGGAGGCAACCAGTCTCTCTGACACGGATCTTTCTCTCTCTCTCTTCCTTTCCTTTCTTTGTGAAAAGCAATGGAAAAAATATCATCCAGTGAGGATTCAAAAAATAATAAAAATGTCTCCCCATTTAAAAATTAGTCAATTATTGATTCTAATTGGAACGTGAAAAACCAGCGTTATCGCACTGGTTTACTAAATCCAGCCGAAGAAGACATAGTGCTTTGGATAGCCTGGTCAGTTTGAGAGCCCCCTGTTTTTCATTACTAACTATTTATTTATTTATTTATTTCATTTATTTTCAAAAATATATCTTTATTGATTTCAGGGAGAGGAAGAGAGAGAGAGACACATCAGTGATGACAGAGTTGTCATTGATCGGCCGCCTCCTGCACGCCCCCAACTGGGGATCGAGCCCGCAGCCCAGGCATGTGCCCTGCCCGGGAATCGATCCCCAATCCCAGGTGGGTGCTCAACCGCTGAGCCACGCCTGGCCGGGCACTAACTTTTAAAAATGTTTACTGTAATTACACAGGGGTGGGCAAACATAGGTATGTAATTGTGAGTACAGGAAACAGAGTTTAAGTATAATTATTAACTATTGTATTATTTTTGCCCCACCCTGTACAACACCCTCTATTCTTCCCCTTTGCTTTCTTTTTTCTTCTTTTGTTTTTGGTGTTGGAAAGCAAGGCTGTGGGATGGGACCCGAATGAAAGGAGTCAATGTTCTGTAGAAAAAGCATTTCACGCCTTTCAGGTAGCTCTCAGCGGACCTGGAGGCGCTTTCCCGCAGCCCCGCCCACGTCTCGCCGCGCGCGAGTTAGCCCCGCCCCCACCTTAGCCTGGTTCCTCCGCTTCAGTCCTTTGGAGCTGTCCTGAGAGGGGGCCCTCGCTGCAATACCACAGTCAACCACAGGGAGGAGTGCTAGGGGGCCTTCTCCAAAGGTGGAGGCGGCGGAAGCGGAAGAGGCGGGACCCAGCGCACACGTTACGTCGGCGCGTGCGAGCGTTAGGGCTGGGTCTCCGGAGCCGAAGGTGGGCGCTACCAGCGCATGTCGGAGGTTGAGAGAAACTCTTGGCTGGGTTCTAGAGTTTGGACCTCATGGCGGAGATAATTCAGGAACGTATAGAAGACCGGCTTCCCGAGTTGGAACAGCTGGAGCGCATTGGACTATTCAGTCACGCGGAGATTAAGTGAGGCTGAGGAAGGGGAAGGTCTGGGGCGGGCTGAGGGGCGGCGGCGGCGGCCGGTGTGCGCGTGGCGGCCACAGGGGTGGGCAGCCGTTGAGTGCTGTTTGTTTTTCCTCATGTGGCGGAAGCCCCTCTCTAGGTTTTGATGATGCCTCGAATTAACTTCTCATGTATTGTAAGGTGATCCGTGCTACCAGACTGAGTGACAGCTCTTCATGGAGCCCGGTCTTGGGGCAGCCAGGTGATAAAACCAGGCTCCCTGCCCATCGGGCGCTAACTGCCCCGTGCGTGCTGGGAGAGAGACACGAGAAACGTTTTGATTGCGGTGCGGTGCGCTGCCAGTTGATGATAGTAGAGTTGCAGAGAGAGGGCCGAGGGAGCCCGCGAGGAGTCGATAAATCTTTCTCACAAGGCTTGACGATGGGGACCATTTAATTCAATTTCGTATTCTGCCCCAGGGCGCAGCCAGCGATGCCTGGCACAAAGTTGGCGTTCAGTCATTTGTTAAAATTAAGTTTAATAATGGTTTTACATGGTTTTCTTCTACTCTTTTTTCATTTTACGTCGACTCTGAGGGTACTACTGTGACTATGGGGTCCTTAAAGTAAACATTGTTACTGAAATGCTGCATGTCGGGTGTGGACGCTTAATAAAGGCTCAGTGAATGTGACCGTTATCATTAACTAGGGACAGTTATTGGTCTTGCCCATCTTGCATTAAATTCTCCTGATAGGTACGTGCTGTTTGTTTATTTCTTAGCTAAATACATAAGTATCTCCCATAAGTCCTTGTAGAGATAATAAATCTTTCTATGTAGACACAATCTGAGGGTTTTTCTTTCTATCTATCTATCTATCTTTCTTTTTTTTTTTTAAATCTGCATGTTGGAAACTCAGAAGTAAGAGGAATTTAGGAAAGAGATTTGATTATCATTAAAATTTAAGTGACCTGACTTTGGAGGAAAAGAAATCTTTGTTAATACCATATATAAATAATGTGAAGTACTTAAGGTTATTTGCTTTGCTGGTGGGAATGTTAATAATGGTCCTGGCAATCAATTAAGATGATTTTTGTGAAAGTTTTAAAATAAATCCTGATGCATTGCTTCTCAGCCTTTTGGCTAAGATCAAGTGTGAAAATATACAAAATATACCCTGATGCCCTTAAGAACACAGAAATAATCACGTAAGAGAATACTTGCTTACGGAGAATAATAATTCGGGAATTACATGTTTTGGTAAATACGTTTTAAATATATTAAAAATGAAGAAACTTAACTCACACTTACTTAAGTTTTGCTCTTTTCAAGTGTTACATTTTAAATGGCTTTCTCTTCAGGGCTATCATTAAGAAGGCTTCGGATCTAGAATACAGAATACAGCGAAGAGCTCTTTGTAAGGAAGACTTTATCAATTATGTTCAAGTAAGTGAATAATTTCATTACCTTTTAATCTCACAAATTTTAAATTAATAATAGAATGGCCAGCTTGATGTCAGTTTTTAACAAAATTCTAGAACTGATGATTAGACAGGTGACTTCTGAATAAAAACAGAGGTGGTTTGGGAGGAGCATTGCTCCACTACGGCTTTAGTCCCTGGGAAACTGAACTTTTTTTTTTTTTTTTTTTTTTTGGGGTTAGTTGACCAGAGACTGCCCAAGACACACTGTATCAGGATTTCAGCAAGAGATTTGATAGCCTATCTCTTGGGAAAAATAAAGGAGAGTGAGTTTGATGATAGTAGCTGGTTGGAAAGTCAATACTTATGCGTATGTAAATCTGTTAATTTAGAGAGAGGTATGCTGCAGGATTCTTCAGTCCTGTAAATGAATGGAAGATTCGAGTGAAGATAAAATATACATGCCAAACCTATTTTTACATGGGCGAGAATAGCTAATCTGTATAGGATGACAAAATCGGGATTCAGAAAGAACCTAGTAATAAGATGAAATGTTTTAAGACTAAAGGTTCTGAGCTTAGATTAAGAACAACTAATGATATATGAGCCCTGGCTAAGAGTCTTGTATTTGAAAGAGGTCCTAGAGCTCATAGTAAATTGCTAACTCAAAATGAGCCAAGAGCATATTATGTAAAAAAATATAATTTAATTGATAGCGTTAACAAAAGTAGAGTGTTGGGTAAATTAGTCAAGCAGAGGACATTGCAAATAGTGGGCACTCAGATGATGTTGGCTTGAAAAAAAGCGTTTTGCACTTACCAGACCATGTCTGGAGCGGTGTGTTAGGCTCAAGACTACATTTTAAGAAGGACTGTGAGAGGTTGGTTGGAAGGCAGCCGGGATGGAAACCTCGTTCTAGGAGGAATTAGAAGGAAATAGAAATGTTTAACCTTACAGAGACTTAAGAAGTGACAAGTCATTTCATCCTCAAATATTTAAGAACTGTGTGGATTAGATTGATTTGTTTAGTTTTAAAAGAGAACATAACTGAGATTAGATTAAAAACACACAAATAAACACACTCTTACATATATCTCCCCACACACACCCTGCACACAACTGTATAAACTTGCTATGAGGTATAAGTGGCATTTTAAATTATGAGTTTCTGGGTATCCACATTGAAAAAATAAAATTGAGTCCCTTCCTCACATAGTACACATGAATCAAATCCTGCTGAATTGGAAAGCTAAATGTGGGGGGAAAGCTTTAAATCTTCAAAAAATATGAAAGAATGACTTCAGGTAGGGAAAGATTTCTTAAATTAGATTGTGAAAGCACATGCTATGAAGAGAAGAATTATTTGACCATGTTAAAAGTAAAAGTTGCCCCAGTTGGTGTCGCTCAGATGGTTGGAGCATCGTCCTGTGTACTGAAGGGTCGTGGGTTCGATTTCCAGTCAGGGAACATACTCAGGTTTCTCTCTCTCCCCCTCTCCCTTCCTCTCTCTCTCAAATCAATAAAAATATATCCTTGGGTGAGAATTACAAATCAAGAAAATGACAACTAGAAAGAAAATAGAAACAACTGGAAAAATTTGGGCATGCAATTTACAAAGGGGAAACATCATTAGTTGGTAAACTTATGAAAAAATGTTAGCCTCAGTAATCAGGTAAATAGAGATTAAAACCAGGGTGCAGTACTACTGTATATCCATCATATTAGCAAATGTTTTAAAGACTGATGTTATCAGTATACAGTTGATACAACCACTTTGGAGAGCAATTTGGTAACATCCCATAAAGCTGAAAATATGTCTGCTCTGTGACCCAGCAATTTCATTCATTTAGCCATAGAGTAAATATTGAGTACCTACTGTGTACAATTCAATGGGTAGTGCCATGATAAATAAGCCGACAAAAATCATTGCATTGAAGAGCTTACATATTAGTGGTGGAAGTCGGTGTACACCTTGGAAAAGTTCCCGGATATGTCAACAAGAAGATATGTACAAGAATATTAATTGCACCTTTTTGAAATAGAAAAATTGGAAACATGCATCAGCAGGAGAAATTGCACATTTATACAGTGAAATACTATATATAGCAGTTAAAATGAAGGGACTTCAGTTTCATGTGTCAAGAGGGATATATTTAAAGTCAGTGTTGGTTCTGGCGGAGTAGCTCAGCTGGTTAGAGTGTTGCCCCCATACGCCAAGGTTGTGGGTTTGATCTTCAGTTGGGGCACATACAAGAAATAACCAGTGAATGCATAAACAAATGGAACAACAAATTGATGTTTCTCCCTTGCTGCCTCCTTCCCTTCCTCCCTCTCTCTCCAGCTGTTCCAAATTAAAAGTAACTTAATGTTGAGTAAAAATATGGAGTGATGGGAACAATATGATACCATTTATGTAAAGCTTAAAAGCATTATAATAAAGTCAAAAGTCATGTTTGCGAGTGACAAGCAGTCAAATAAAGATAGTCATTTCCTCTGGGGAGGAAGAAGAGTGGAATCAGATATGGTACATAGTGGGGCTTCACTCTTCTTTGAAGTGTTTTCTTTCTAAATAATATTTGAAGCAAATATATAGTAATTGTAGGGTTTGACATAGCTGTGTGGTAGCTACCTGCATGGGTGTTCTGTGTGCTCAAAATATTTCACAAAATATTTTAAAAATGAAGCATGCAGTCTTACGAGGTTCTGAGGTTTCAGTTTCTTAATATTTAAGCCAAGGCTTACAGAGGAATTGTACAAACCTATTATCTGCTTGTGCATCAGCTAAGATTTTTCAAAGGTTAATTACTAAAAGTTTAAATATACTTTCATACTAGAAAGTTAGATCAATAATATAAACCTTATATCTTGGGGGTTTTGTAACATGCTCTCTTTGTAGCTAATTTGTTTATATGCTTGCTAATGTGTGTATTTTTGAGTGTTGCAGATGTAAGGTGAATTTTCAGTGAATGCTAGACATTTACTGTAGATTATGCTTCTTGACAGCAAATTATCTTTTGTTTTATATTCTTGATTTTTATTTACTTTATGATTTTAACTAAGTGTATTTCCTATACATGTAAAAGGTTATAATTTTTCTTGTTTTCCTCTTTTTTGTGTATGTTTTCCTTCTATAGTATGAAATTAATCTTTTGGAGCTGATCCAGAGGAGAAGATCTGTAAGTAGCTGATTATCTGGAAGTTGGAAAAAAATATAGAATGAAATAGGGTGGCTCTATTGCTAGAACTTGGGTTTGGGAAGTGGTTTGCATTGACAAGTTGCATGATGATGTACTCATAATGGATGTTTGTAATCCTTTGCTTTCTCTGTCAGTATTGTTTAGTGATCAAGTGAGTGCTGCTTTGGGTAAATGTGATTAAACTGAGGCTTGTTTTTATGTTCCTTTTTAGCGCATCGGGTATTCATTTAAGAAGGATGAGATTGAGAATTCTATTGTACACCGGGTACAAGGTGTGTTCCGACGCGCTTCAGCAAAGTGGAAAGTAAGTGATCAGAGCTTCCTTAATTGTAAGAGATGTGAAGATATATATTATACATATTCTGATGTGGACGTTCAAGTGCATTGTTGTCCATTGTTTATTCTTATCTTGGGTGTCTCAATACTTATTCTAATGGTGGTATTATTACCTGCAACCACTTACCAAACCATTAAGAAAATTGATCTCATTACCTGATAGTTATTCTGTGAGGATGGTGCTGAAAGCAGTGGATTTGATACACAGTTAAGGAGCAGAAAATGGTCTGGGATTTGCTTGGCTATATCTCTAAATTAAGTACACTAAAGACTTGGATGTGGACGATAAATGGTTAGAGTAGGGGCAGTACCTCAGTAACTTGATTTTCTTCAAGTTTGGCTCTGGGACTGAGACATATTATATGGGAAGTACTTTGGATTCCTGGGAATGACAAATTTTGGGTTGCTGTTCTTGATTGAGACCATTTTAAAACTGCACTGAACAAACTGGATAGATGGCAAATTTTGTCTTAGAGCATGGTAGGTGGGAATTACTGTGGTTAAGAGATTTAAGGCCTCAGTGAGGAAGAGCTTAATAGGCTGGGGGTGTTGTAACATTAGATTTTCTGAAGTCTGCCTCTGTTTCAAAGGTGTTTTATATTATAAAGCTCAAATTCAGGCGGCTTACTACATCACTTTTCTTGCAGGATGATGTTCAACTTTGGCTGTCCTATGTTGTCTTCTGTAAGAAATGGGTGAGTAATTGGGCAGCCGAGTCTTACTCCCTCATTCTTTCTTTTGGTTAGTTGGCCTTTTAAGCCCCATACTTGATTACTAAATTCCATGTTTTCTCCAAAGATGTAGGGTTAACAAACGGGAAAAGGATCCAAGAAGACTGAACTTCAGTGTAACATTTGTATATCTGAATGACTCAATGGCTTTCAATTCATTTGAAAAGTTAAAACTTTTTTATAATTTTATTTATTGAGTTAAGACAGAGACATTTGTTGTTCCACCCACTGATGCATTCATTCATTGCCTCTTGTATGTGCCCTGACTGGAGATCAGGCCCACAACCTGGGCACATTGGGACAATGCTCCAACCGCCTGAGCTACCTGGCCAAGGCCTGACATTTTTTTTTTTAATATTTAGAATGCTTATGTAGAGTGGTTTAGGTAGAAGAAAACTATGAGTGTCTGTGTATGTTTACATGTCCTTAGCAATAGCAGATCTTGCCCCATTGGATTTTATAGTTTGTAAGGGTACAGACAGATCTCTTAGAGAGAAGTAACAGTGATTTCATTGTGTTGGAAGTTTAATTTTTCTCTGTCTTTTCAGGCTACCAAAGCTCAACTTAGCAAGGTGTTCTCTGCCATGTTGGCCATTCATTCAAACAAGCCAGGTATGGTGAAATACTTGTCAGTTCTTTTTCTACCTTATGTAGACTCACACTGTTTTGGGATATTTTGCCTGATAAACCTAAAAGAGCTTATTTCAAGATCTTGAGCTTAGGCATTTGGCCTCAGCAGATTTGTTTCCTGAATGATGCTGCTTAGTTCATCCCTGCCTACTGTGTACTAGTTAGTGTGTTAGGTATTATATCTGTTGGCAAGTGGAACTACATTTCTTTTTTAGTTAATGGTAAAAGAAACTCTTTGGTCCTTTGAGGGACATTCTCTTTGAACGTAGTCATGTTTAAGGGATTTCTGAAACAGGGGAAAAGATTAATGCAGATTTTACAGGAGTGACTGACACAGAGTTGGAACTCGTGCTTTGTAAGAGAAAGGCCTCTCTCAGGTGCATTCTGAGCGGTGCATTCCTTTACAGTGGAGGTGCTCCAAAGCTTGTTCTTAACCAGGCCCTTTACCACGCACAAGACTCCACAGGCCACATTAGCACCAGGTTATTCAGAAGAGAGCAGGGCAGCACTGGCGTGTTTTTCCAGTAGAGTGCTCTTAGCGGTATGGAGGCTACTGACAGTTCAGTGGCGAGGGATGAGTGGGTAGGGGGGCCACCCTGGCTTAGAAGACCCATGGATGGGCATAGCTTCCAGGGATCCTGGCCGCCTCATCCAGATGTGGTTATCAACCATAGGTTATTTTTACCAAAAGCAATCTTGCCTGGTAACTAGCTCATCTTTATTGAGTTTCTAGGGAAATGGTTCGAATGCTAACTCAAAGTTAATGTCCCTTGTAAAAGGACAAAAGTTTGTTTTCTTTTAAGCCTTTATTCCCAGTAGGTATGATAAAAATTTACTTTTAAAATTATAAGTAATTAAAAAAAATTGAACTATTTTCAATATAGAGAAAAGAGCAAAATTTTATTTCATTGATTCTTAGCTGCACAATATTTTCCAGCATTTTATCACTTAAAATTTGTATGTGGCTTAAAATGATGTTGACCTTAGATGAGATGAAACAGTAATAGGCACATAATAAGTACTCTCAGGTGTTAACATTTATCTGTTTCTTTCAGGATACTCTATAAGTTTAGGTAAAGCAATAATACTGTAAAAATAATCATTACAAACTCCTCTCCATTTCCTTTCTCTTTTGGTAGGATTAAAAAAATTCTTTGAGTATTAAAATTGGACCATTGTTCTTTTTTTGCCTGAGTTGGTTAATTTAATAAAATGAAGTCTGATGTTTTTCATTTATAGCTCTGTGGATTATGGCAGCCAAATGGGAAATGGAAGATCGCTTGTCTTCAGAAAGTGCAAGACAACTCTTTCTTCGAGCTCTGCGCTTTCATCCCCATTGCCCAAAACTTTATCAAGAAGTAAGTGTGTGGACATTACATGAGAGAGTGGTGTCTCACTTTGGTCTACATGAGAGAGTGATGTCTCACTTTGGTCCTCTAGAGCACACATTCTTTAAGTTTTTTAAAAAAAGACTTTGAATTATGGAGGCTAGGGATTGGTAGGGAGCTGCTGGAGAAAGGGGGCCAGGAGGGTGTTTTTTGGTTAGTAGTAGGTTTTGACCATATGCGTCTTCTAGGTTCTTAGTGAGAGATTAAAACTCCTACTTGCCCATTATGGTTGGGAGGGGTAGTGGACCTTACCTTTATAAAATGGAGGGGCCAGGGTTCANAGAGATTAAAACTCCTACCTGCCCATTATGGTTGGGAGGGGTAGTGGACCTTACCTTTATAAAATGGAGGGGCCAGGGTTCAGCCATCTTTATAGCTTTGTTCTTATTTTTTTCTTACCCCTCCCTCCTTCCTTTTCTTCCTCCCCTTTCTCCCTTCCCCCACTGCCTTTGGCTTTTCTTCACTTTTTTTCCTGTTTTCCTCTTATCTTTTTGTCTCTCTTTCTTGAGGTAGATATTTTCTTCCCCTCTTGGTAGAGTTATTCCCCCTTGGAGGGGTACTTTTGATGAAAGAAAACCAAAAACAAAAGCATTTGTTTTTCTTTTATCAAAAATATCCTTCATTGCCTGGCCCGGCGTCGCTCAGTGGTTGAGCATTGACCTAGGATCCAGGAGACTGAGGTTTGATTCCTGGTCAGGACACATGCCCGGGTTGCAGGCTTAATCCCCAGTCGGGGCCATGCAGGAGGTAGCCGATCGATGATTCTCATCATTGATGTTTCTGTCTCTCCCTCTCCCTTCCTCTCTCTGAAATCCATAAAGATATATTAAAAAAAAAAGTATCCCTCCAAAGGGGAATAAGTGCATTATTGAAAACTGCACCTTTTTCTGAGGTATTTGTCAGGATAAGGGAGGAACTGCTGTTTAGTCTTCAAATGAAAAGCCTGTGTGCTGAGGGGGAAAAGATAGGGGTTTTCATGCTAATTGGTATTGTCACTGTCCCAACCATACTTTTGGTCTTGTAACTTAATGATGTTTTATATTGTAGTCTTGTGTCCTTTTGTTTCTTTACATATTCTGTTAGACATTCCTTTGCTGCCTCTATTATTTTTATTGAAAAACTATTGTAAGAATCAATCTTCCCTGTTGTTAGAGAGTTGTTGTATGGTGTTATTTTTATTTATTTAATTTTTTCTTTATTTTTTTCCATCACAATTTATCCCTCCAATACCCTCTCTTCCACCTCCACTCCCCCCCTCGTGTTAATATTTTACATGGTTTTTGGAGGCTTTCACAAGTGCTCATACTTGTATTTTCCAAAATGGAAATAGATTTATTGTTTATTCTTATCAAAAGTAATTAGAATTTGTTTATTATAAGTGGTTCAGAGAAAACAGTTGTATGAAAAAGTAAGGGAAAAAGTACTCATATTTTATCACCCTTGCTTTATGCCTATTACAGATAATTAAAACAACTTCTGTTTCTAAAAAGTAGGATTCTATTACATATTCTTGTGTTCTGTATTTTTACCTAATATATCATGAATATAGTTCCATGTTAGTATATATTGACCTATAATTGGTTATGTTTAAACTTTTTAGGCCTCTTTCAATCTTAAACTACTGAGGACCTCAAAGACCTTTTGTTTATATGGGTTACCTCCATCAATTTTTATTTTATTGAAATTAAAACCAAGAAATCTAAAAGTATTTATTTAAAAACAAATTCATGATATGTTAATATAGGTTACTTATTTTTAGATGAAAATAACTCTTCTAAAACAAAGTTGAGAAAGAAGAACGGCATTATTATACATTTTTGTAAATCCCTTGAATATCTGACTTAATAGAGGACAGCTGGATGCTCAGAGCTCCTCTTGGCATTCAGTCTGGGTGATAGGACCCATCATGTAGTCTCTGAAAAAGTTTAAACTCTTAATAAGAGCAAAGGCAAGTAACATGGTTAGTATTATTATGAAAATTTTCACTTTGTTCTCACACCTTCGTGTATGAAACTTAATTATTTAGGATTATTTTCTTTTGATTGATTTCTAGAAGCAGAATTTCTGGTTTAACAAGTATAAACACTTTTAAAAAATTCATCATTTTAATATGTCTTGTAGCATAGAATTCAAAGTATTAAAATTTCTGGATAAGCCAACTTTACAGTACCTGTTAATCATGCATTAGTTTCTCTTTATATACGTGATATTACATATTTACCATTGATTTTTACTTCAGAATAATTATAGATTCCCAGGAAGTTACACAGATAATACAGTGAGTCCTGTGTACCGTATATTTAGTTTTCCATGATGGTTACATTTCATTAAGTTATACTATAATATCAAAGTCAGGAAATTATCATTGGTATAATGTGCATGTAGTTCTGTTTTTTCCTCCCACATATGTAGAATTGTGTAGCCACTGCAATCAAGATATGGAACTGTGCCATGATCACAGAGATCTCCCTCTTTGTCAGTGTCAGCTAGTTTCATAGCAAATATACCACTCCCCCCAAACTCCCAGATCCAATAATTATGGGTACAAAAGGCATCTTATCTGTTTCTAATGTTAAAAAAATTATTTCTAGAGCTTTTTAGTTCATCATTTCCCTTCTGTAGTACTTCAGGATGGAGCTGATGCATGCTGAGAAATTGAGGAAGGAAAAGCAAGAATTTGAGAAGGCCAAAATGGATGTGGTAAGATCCTAATATGTTGTCACTTGTTAATATGTGTAGTGTTTTGAGCCCGCTTAGGAGTAAGAGAAAATCTTTGGAATGTATTTTTCTTTCCAATTTAATGTCATATTTTGAAACTTTAAGATGAGTCTAGAGTTGACTTAATAAAATGGGCTTAATAATAAAAATGGAATTTTGTGCTTTAAAAATAGGCATTTGCACTAATTGGAATGGTCCTCAAGATTATTACTGATGGAATGGCCAAATGCTACCCTTTAGTACTTTATGATTTCATGAAATGACATATTAATGGGCTGAGGGAGCTTGAGAAAGGTTGTGGAAATGTGTGGTTTCTAGCCTCCTTTTTTATATAATTTTTTATGTGACAATAATTAAAAAAAAAGTTTTAGAATGTTAGAACTGAAAAAGGAACTTTGCTATCATCTGTTACTGTGCTTTCCAGCTCTGAAAATAAAAAAATTTTTTTTTCTTAAAATTGATTTTTAGAGAGAGGGAAAGAGAGAGGGAGGGTGGGCAGGAGAGAGAGAGAGAAACACTGATTTGTTGTTCCACTTACTGAGGCATTTATTGGTTGATTCTTGTATGTGCCCTGACTGGAGATTGAACCTGTAACCTTGGCTTATAGGGACAATACTCTAACCAACTGAGCTACTCGGCCAGGGCTCTGAAATTTTTTATCCAAATAAAGTCCTACGTAGAAGGTTCAACAGGGCATGTAAGAGTTGACCTATTCTGGTCTAAATGGAGAGTGAGGCCTTAAGCCTAGTGATCCTGCTACCACTCCAGGAGCCTGAGAGAACATAGTTTGAAGATAACTGTCTTGTTCAACTACACATTTTATAAGTGAGGGAACTGGCCCAGAGAGAGACATGATTTGCCAGAGGTCATATGGCACAGGTAGTCTAGGACTGTTCATTTTTCTCTAGTGCTTTTTCTACTTATTTGCACTACCTGTTAAGTTATGTTCAATATAACACTCTTTAGGGAAATCTTGATTATCCTGAAGAAATCCTGACAGGCGAGTTGGCACGGATCATCTACAAAAATTCTATAAACATAATTAAAGGTAGGTATCTTGCGAACATTTATTTATGATGGGAAAGTGAAACAATCTATAATGAGGAAGACCTTTAACTTATTTTGAAAATTTATGTTAAAAATTCTGTTAGAATATGTATAAAATTCATTGTAGGAATGTTTCTTTCAGAAGGCTTATTGCCCTTTAGGATATACTTGAACATTTCAATAAGTTTTTATTTAGTACTTAATTCATGTGGGAAGTTGAAGAAAATAAATAGATGATTTAATACATTCCTTTATGCCCTTAAGAAGTTTAGAATAAAAGCTACGCCCGGCCAGGGTATCTTAGTGGTTGAGAATTGACCTGGAGGTCACAATTCGATGCTCAGTCAGGGCACATGCCTGAGTTGCAGGCTCAGTCCCCAGTAGGGGGCGTGCAGGAGGCAGCTGATAGACGATTCTCTCTCATCATTGATGTTTCTCTCTCTCTCCTTTCCTCTTTTTGAAATCAATAAAATCACTTAAAAAAAAAAAAAAGCTACAAGTACTTATAAATACTCCAGAATATTAATAATGGCTTTGCTTGTGTAATGGAACTATGGGTGATTTTTTTCCTGCTTTGTCCTAATTTCTCTTTTTTTTGGCTTGATAGCAATCTTTTTTATTTATTTTTGTTCAAAATATTACAGATGTCCCTTTTTCTTCCCATTGACCCATTGCACCCCACCCCACCCCCTTCCCCATGTCCTATTTCTCAATTTGAAAAACAACAACTTTAGTATATCAAGAAGGTGGTACTTTTAGAGTGAAATGATACTTTAGAGTCTTACTCCCCTCCCCTACTTTTAAAATTTTAGGTGCAGAATTTCATGTGTCACTGCTTTCAATTGCACAGCTCTTTGACTTTGCCAAAGATCTGCAAAAAGAAATTTATGATGAGTAAGTAAAATAGTGGCAAGGTGAATATGGCTATTTCTTATTTTGTGGTAAGGGTTTGAAGTTGGATATTTAGAAAGTGGGAAAGAATATACCACACTACACCCTTGGAGGAAAGCTACGTTTTAAGACCATTGTATCATAGTAAATTGTATTTAAAAAATATATTCCTTGGCTTCCCTTGGAAAATAGTTTGGCTCTATTCAGTAACAAGTAAGACCTACAGCTTTTATAAAAATCTGTATTTTTGCTTTCTTGGCATGTCTTTTGTCCGTAAAGTGAAAGTTATACTCATGACTGTCTGTAGTTGAGTGCTGCAGGTGATTTTATTCTTTAATGTCTGGTTATATGGTTTGAGAATTACTTGCAGCCTACCTATGGGTACTTCATTCTTAGGTTGAACCCCTTAAACTTTCACAGAACCCCTTACTTTCACAGGAGATAAAATAGAACTTGAATCGGTTTTCTCTTTGGACATTTTCAGGTTTTTGGTAGAGGATTTGGTTGTTGCTTTTTCTTTGCCTTTATTGCAGAAATGCAAAAGCCTGGATAAAAACAATAAGGTTCTCCAGGGCTCAAGGAGGATTGTCTCGCCCTACCTCCCTGCTGATTTGACCTTGAGAGCTAACCTGAAAGTTAACATTTGTGAATGATGTGTGAAACATTCTGAAACCTAATAAATGTGTGATCCATAGACAAAATTTATGCATCGAGTGTGCAGATATCTGAGGAGCCTATTTATAGTAATGGAATTGTTAAAGGGGCATCCTCTAAATGTTTATAGAGCATTGGGAACTATCTCTCTGTTTGATATTCTGAGTTAGTCTCCTGTCATAGGACTCATGCCAATAAGCTTTGTTTTTCAGCCTTCAGGCTGTGCACACAGATGACCCTCTCACTTGGGATTATGTGGCACGGCGAGAATTAGAGATACAGTCGCAGCCAGGAGAAGAGCAGCCTGCAGCAAAGCAAGCCAGAGCAGTGGAGGCAGGCCGGAAGGAGGAGCGCTGCTGTGCTGTGTACGAGGAGGCAGTCAAGAGTCTCCCTACAGGTGAATTGCACCAAATCACTGTGTGGTGTAGAAGTAATGGTGCTCATGAATGTGAAACTGAAGCCCCCATTCCCATGACCAAGATCTCTTTCAGGAATCTCTCTGGTAGTGTACAGTGTGCCTGGCTTTCCGACTTGTTCTTTCTCTGGTGGTGAAGGATTGAGCTTTTTGACTTTCCCTGACAGTAATGGTATATATGTGTTCATACATTTGCTGGAAATGATACTCAGGAAGATTGTTTAATTACAATTCCTTAATTATCTTTTGATATAGATCACTTTGTGATTTTGTAATATTGGAGTATTAAGGTAGAGGGGGTATATAACATGGATAGACTTATAATTTTTATATTTATGTCATTACTCAGTTTTTCCCCCTCAGTGTTTGAGGTGGTTTATTGGCTGTGATCAGAATAACTTTTTTTTTCTAAAACCAGATTAGTTTAAACTGTTCTTCAGAGGAGTTTTCCCTTCAAAGAAAAGATGTGTGATGATTGTTAAACCAAGAATTGATGATTGATCAGTGTAATCTTTCTGACTTTTTCAGAGGCCATGTGGAAGTGTTACATCAACTTTTGCTTGGAAAGGTTTGCTAAGAAGACAAGTAGTCAGTCCCTCAGAGGACAGGTAAGGATGTAGTTAGAGTGGCTACTAGAAAGTGACTGTCTTTTGGAAAAAGACTCTTTTGGGGCCTGGGACAGCTTCCAAGAACTCCATGTTTAATTGTTCTTTCTCCTTGAGTGACTTGTCATTCTGATGGCCTGAGTCTGCTTTGCCCTTATCCTGGCCACGGGGTCAGGAGGTGCTCTATTACTGGTGCAGCTGTCCAACTCATCTAATCATATGAAATCACCTTAGTCCCTGCTCCCAGTTTTCAGAAATGTGCAAAACTGCATTTGTTGCTATCAGAGGCCAAAAACCTCTGCTGGAATCTTTGTAATGAACTGAGGCAATTTTCTGATTTCAGAGGCTGGAAAGAACCATGACTGTATTCAGGAAGGCACATGAACTCAAACTTCTACCAGAATTCCTGTACAAGCAGTGGGTAAGGACACGAGCACATTCACTGCCAGTTATATGTACTCAGTTCCAGGTGGTTCATGCTGGTGTTGTGTGTTTTAACATACATAGTTATGTGACTAAGACCATTCGGAAGTTTGGTGTGTAGATGTAGAGTATTTACATTTGCCTGTCAGTGTTTGGTGTATGTCAGAAATGAAATCTGGCCCAGCTGGTGTGGCTGAGTGGTTGAGCCATGGACCAGGAGGTTGTGGTTCAATTCCTGGTCAGGACACATGCCCAGGTTGTGGCCTCAGTCCCCAGTAGGGGGTGTGCAGGGGGCAGCTGATCGATGATTCTCATCATTGATATTTCTCCCTCTTTCTCCCTCTCCCTTGCTGTCTCCGAAATCAATAAAAATATACCTTTTTATTTTATTTTATTTTTAAAAAAAATATATCTATTGATTTCAGAGAGAGGAAAGGAGAGGGAGGGAGAGATATAGAAACATCAATGATGAGAGAGTCATTGATCGGCTGCCTCCTGCAGGCTCCCGACTGCGGATCGAGCCCGCAACCCGGGCATGTGCCCTGACTGGGAATCGAACCCTGATCGCCTGGATCCTAGGTCCACGCTCAACAGCTGAGCCACGCCCGGCCGGGCTAAAAATATACCTTTTTAAAAAAAAGGAATCTGTGTCTGTAAAGGGAAGAATATTATGTAGCAGAAAACACAAGGAGTCACAGTTTGGGTTTATTTTGTTTGTCCACCCTTCCATCTTTTACTGAACATCCCTTTCCTAGCTTTCAATCTAAACGCCTGGCCCAGGTTAAGCATTGGAAACAAATTAGATGTGTTCCCTGTGTGTCAGAATCTGACGTTCTAGGAGGAGCTGTATTAACTCATTCCTACCCCCAGGGTGGGTGAGGATTGTTATTGAGACCAGAGTAATGTGCTGTGGGAGTACATAGTTCTAGATCAAGTTTGCCACTTAATAGTGAGGTGACTTGGGTAAATCACTTAACCTTTCTGAGTTTGTCGACTCAGTTTTAAAATAGTGATAGCGATCCTTGGTTTTGCCACGTCACAGCATAATGTGAAATAATGTGTTAGTGTATTTAAATACCTTTCTAGGACAAAAAAGGACGAAAATCTTTATATTTGTCTAGTGCCAACTCCTGATTCATATTATTATGCAATTTTTATATAATTACAATTAATGTTTTGCTATTTTGTATTCTATTATTTTTACATTAACATTTAAAAATACTTACATGATGCTATGCTGTATACTAGCCTGTTATATTATACCACTTCCGAGGTACCCTTCTCCCACTTTGGCATCTGTCTCGCAAAAATCCCAGACCTGGGTGAGCTCAGCTGCCCCTGTTTGGGTTATTGAATTGAATGATGGCAAGACAGTCCCACTCTCTCTGTCCAGATGGGCTTTGCTTTGAGGTGTTATTCTGGAAGTCCTGCTCTCTTTCTATTATTGCTTATTTTGCCATTCACCACTCTGGCTATTTCAAACATCCTCTGCTCTCCAGGTCTCTCATGTTGCCCTTTCTAACCCTACCATCTCATCACTCATTTGGGGACTTTGCCTTTAATGAGAGTTCCTCAGTGTGCTGCTGCACTTAAAAAGCTTTGCTGATTTCTGCATCCATTCTTTATCCAGATTAATTGCCACAGAATGATGTTTTAAAATTGATTATCAGATTCTGTGGCTTTCCACTGTCCTTTGGATAAAGCTGCTCAGTCTCATTAATTTGCCCCCCCCCCCATATTGCCAGCCTCATCTGCCAGTTCTCCAGTTTACATCTTACCCTCCACCCCCAACCATTCTGAACTTGGATTTCCAAGCTGTCTCTCATCTTCAGCCTCTTGCACATGCTGGTTAGGACCTCTGCTTTCACCTGACTGATGCCTGCTCTTAAGTCTAAATGGTGCTTCCTTTTTGGAGTCCTTTCTCATCACTGCCATAGACCCTGTTGGGTGTTCCTGCTTTGTACTCTGATAGCATATGATGCTTTTTCTGTCCTGGCACATATCACATTGCTAGACGGAGGCTCTGTGCATGGTGGAGAATGCACCTCATAGTCTCATTATTGAATTTAGAATGTACAGTATGCAATAAAAATCCTGCTGAATGAATGGATTATATACTGCCATTTATTTACTGTTTCACAGTTTTATAAAATTGAATTGGTTTTAGGTTTTTTCCTCCCCCCCGTTAAAATAGTGTTGATACAAGCATTTTGACCAGATAAGATTTCCTTCTGTTCATATACTTGTTGGGCCATATTTGTTAAAATACAATTCTCAAGTTTAAGTTATGAACACTTTTATGACTTGTGATACATAATGTCAGATTATATTTCAGCAAAATTATACTAGTTTATAGTGTGCTCTACTCTGAATGAATAAACTTGTTTCCTTACCAACCCACAAATACTGGTTTTATCTTTTCTGATGTTTATTCTCTCGTTTGGTGGGTATGGGTTTTATTATAGTGAACTATTTTATTAGAAACTTAACTTTCAACCTAAGTTATTTAGATTCTCTACTTTCCCCCTCTTCCCTGTTTTTTGATACTGCTTAGGAGTAGGAGCAGGGAATGGAGGAATTCCAAATTGTTCACTTTGTACCTGTTTGGCAGCCATGGTAAAAGGCTTAGTGGAAAGGCTGTTGAAATTATTGCCTCGTTTATCCCCCATTACATAGATAATTTAGCTCTCAGGATTAATTTTCCAGTGATCCTTTGTCTTATCCAGATCGAGTTGTTGCTGCATCATGACTTCCTTAAGGAAGCTCTGCAGGTGGCTGTAGCCGGGATTGAGTTGTTTAGAGACTCTGTGATGATATGGGAGCTGAAGCTGCGGGTGCTGATTGAGTCAAAGAGCCCTGACGTAGCCAGGCATTTTGAAGAAGCCTTTGCGTCCCTGAAACCCCAGGTCTGTGAGTTGGGTCTTTTGTATTTCATTCTACTTGGGAAACCTTCTAAAACTCAAGCCAAAGTTTATTTGGAGTGTACTTGTCTCATGAGAGCTGGCCCTAGAGTACATTTGTGCTAGTGATTTAAGGGTCAATATTAGAAGAATTTGCTTCCACTTAATGGCCTATTTCTAATTCTTTATTTGAAAATGGACTAAATTATATAAAATTTTATATTCCGTATAGATATCTTACAAGTGAGAAATATTAATAGAATATTCTCACTTGTTTCCAAAGCTGAGCTTAAGCCTGATTTTTAAAACACACATATATATATTTGTAAACCTTAAAAGTTTAAAAGACTAAACCTTAAAGCTTTGCAGTGAATCTTTTATATTAGTAGGAAAAAGTATTCCAGAAGTTAAAGTGGGGAAAAAAAATCTTAATTATTTTACTGTTCATTTGTGTGTGCCTCTGAGACATGAGTGGAGGTCAGATCGTTCAGCCTAGATAGTTAGTACTTGTGTTGTGAGTCCTAAATAGCAGAGATATTGCCTGGGTAGCTATAGGTTTGACTAGCTATGGGCTGTTAATTGCTCAATTAATGAACAGATAATCAATGGCAATAACTATAGGCAGCCTTCTCCAACATCAGGGAGCTAGAATTAACAGGTGAGTATTGCTTTGGGTGACTTGGCCAGAGACTGTATTCTGACATGTCATTGCTGCTGGTACTGAGGATTCCTTCAGAGTGAGGACAGACTGGGAATGAATCCATACTTTACATATTGGTTATCTTAGGAGGAACCTGTCTTTATAGTGACTAGTTTTCAGAGTGTAGTGCTAAACTATTGTTTTCTAACTAATTTTTTATTGTGAGCAGGTTTGTCTGCCATTGTGGATTTCTTGGGCAGAGTGGAGTGAAGGTGCCAGAAGCCAAGAAGACACTGAAGCCATCTATAAGGTATGGGCCTGGTGGTCTATGCCTTGTAGTGTGTGGGGAATGAGCAGATAGGTTTACTGGTTGGCTAGCTTTAGAGTTATTTCTATAGCAGCTCTTCCTAAAGCACTATTCATTGAGCAGCCTGGGATGGTTCTGGGAAAATGTGTATTGATATTTATAAATTTCCTTACACAGCTTGTGCCTTTTTTCTTTTGAATTATAGAAAGCTATCTTAGTTATCACGGGTGCTGACTCAACCACTCTGAAGGAAAAGTACCTGGATTGGGCTTATCGAAGTGGTGGCAACAAAAAGGCGAGAGCTGTGTTTAAAAGGTACTCACAGATGTTTGTAGCTGTTACTGGTCTCTCCACTCCATACTAGGTCCTCATACCCAGATTATATGTATCACAAATAGTATCTGAGGAAGTAATCCCAGAGACTTTTCAAGAAGTTTTTTTGTTTTTTTT